TTAGATCCCTCTGCCCAACACACACACACACACACACACACACACACACACACACACACACACACACACACACACACACACACACACACACACACACACACACACACACACACACACACACACACACACACACACACACACACACACGTGGTTTGTAAAACTGTTTTCTACGCATCCATGTCACTATATTGTTTTCATAATAGTGACCCAGGCAGTTTATGTGGATTATTGTAGAACTGACCTGTCTCTCTCTCTACAACCGCCACACAAATACGCACGCACGCACGCACGCACGCACGCACGCACGCGCGCACGCGCATGCACGTCGTAAAATAGGTGCAATTATATTGGAGGCGACGTTAAATCTGAAGTCCACACAACGCTTACTCCTTTTGTGTTACACATCACTGTGATGTTATATCAAGAATTGAGAGAAGAAATACAGTATGCTATAAGGACTGGGCACAGAAACAAAATATATTAGGATGTAAAGAAATGTAATACTTTTGCTATTGAATAGTATCACCATGTCAAACGTAGATGTTCAGGGGAGGTGTATTCCTTTCGACGCTAATTGATGACGTTGATGTTGAAACGTTTGTTTGAAATGGTGATAATGGCAATAACGATGGTATTTATGAAATAACGTGGCATTTGACTGTTACAGAATTCTCTAAGTGTTCACATAACATAAAGCACATCTTGAACAACTTGTGACAATAATACTACAAATATGAGTAAATATACTCTTCAAAAATAGAAACGCAATACGAATATTTTTGGCCATAAAAGCATCATAAGGGGACCAAGAGGTGCAAAACGAAGAGGTGTAATGTGTTTTAGTGTCAGTGACAAATTTTCCAGATCAAAATAATCTCAACAAAGACTTGCAAAGCATTAGTCGGGAAACATGTACGATTCGGAAAAAAGCCACTGACCAGATACATTGACCAGATGCAGGATTTTAGCTGACGACCCTGGGTATACAAGTGACCAGACTAAAGGTCGGGGGGGGGGGGACTTGTGTTGTTCATTCCGAAGTGACCGCTTAGACCTCCAACTCTAAGTGTGATACAAGATTTCTCCTCTGTCGAGTAGATGGAACAGCACGGGTCTACAGACGTCGGGGAGAACGTTACGCCGGAAACTACGTACAGGAAGTGGACAGGTTCTCATCATAGCAGGATAGGTTTGTTCCATATCCAGGGCAATCTTACGGCTCAACGATACACTAACGAAATTCTCCTGCAACACGCCCTCCCATTTGCAGCCAACGGCAGCAGGACAACGCTCGACTGTATACAGAACGGATCACAAGATCACAAGAGCCTGTCTACACAACACCAATGTTGATGTTCTCCCCTGACCCTTCAGATCCCTGGATCCGAACCCGATAGAGCATCTGTGGGATGAATTGGGTAGACGTCAACCACCTCCCTAGACGTTGCAGCAGTTGGCTGCGGGCGACGATTCCCCATTATGTGAATCGCATCCTCGTCTCTTCCATGGGCAGGAGATGTCAAGCTGCTATCGAATCCAACGGGGGACATACGCGTTATTGATCGTAGCTGACCTTCACCTCGGAATTTCCCTATCTACCGATAACTGAGATGACAACAATCACCAAGTGTTCTCTCCACAACATTTTGGCTCAATACCTTGTACGGTTCCTCGTTTCCTACCTCACACCAATCTGGCTTTGCGCTTCTTTTCTTTTTTGAAGAGTATATTAGATTGCTCTTTCAAATTTCATTTGAAACAAATTACAAAGTTATTCACAATGCTATATCAACACACCCGGAAATGCGGATGGGTTGGTGTAAAAAACTTCCACTCTACTTCAGAACAAAATAACATTAACAAGCCACCATGCCTTAATCTGGTCACCTTGTTGGTTGATGACATTTCATGCTGTGGATCAGACACGTTGTGGCGACTGCCGATGCATTGTGCTACCGTCCCGAAATGTTATCCTCTCCAAAGGCGTATATAGATCTATATACATCTTTGTTATCTCCCAGAAAAAGGCAGTGGAAACATGGTGTCTATATGATGTCCAGAGTGACTAATGGAAAACGAATAAAATATCTTAAAGAAAATTACATTGCTAATTCCCATTTCAGTCGAAACAAAACATTCAGTCATGTTTGGGTGGTGGAAAAAAACACAAAATGACATCAATCAGCCACCAGAGTTTAATCTGGTCACCTTGTTGGGTGATGACACTTCATGCAGTGAATCACTTGCGTTGTGGCGCCTTGTGCTGTCATCCAAAAATGTTGTCTTCTCATACATCATAGCAGTGGAATCATGTCGACTATGTGACAAGTCCAGAGCGACTAATCAATCTCCGCAGTTCTGTCTTAGAGATGGCAATAATCAGCCACCATACTTTACACCTGAGTAGGAAGCCCATCGAATGCCATGGCAACTCTCACCATTCACAACCTTGTGTGTTATCAGATCATACCCAAGCCACCACGCGTCCCTTTGCTGAACTGAATGCTCTACACATTCACATGTCTGTGGATATGGCAATGCTAATATAGAACGCGAATAATCCGGGTTCCGTGTCACCGACCTTTGCTTACAATATACACATACAGCGGAAGCTCTCTTGTTCAGACCAACTACATGAGCAACAAAGGTTCACTATCAAAGTCGACATGATGTTAAATTTTAAACGATTGAATAGATAAGGGGCCCAATATTAATCATTCTGCCTCCTCTGATCGCCACCCGTTCACACTATATATACATCGACCGATGGTTTGAAACTATTTAGAAATTTTACTACATGAATTTAGCAGATCAATGACGAACATAATGTAAGCGTTAAACATGAGATCACTAAAGGTTGTCGGTCACATTGACATTATTTAATGCGTTCTCTCGAAAAACACCTTTTCTTATAAGGGTCGGGGTTATATATCATTAATGGAAACCCTAATATCCACTGGAATGGGATGATCACACTGACAATTTCAAACCTTTTGTCTTTGTTCGGCAATTTATAGTTTTATTTTGGGTTTTAAACGAATACTTAGCATGGTGTTTCTAAATTAGGTCATATATTAAATGTTGTGTGCTGGAGTAGGATTTGTGTAACTGCGCTACAGACATGCAGACAGAAAGATGACATAGTTTAAGTCAATCTATCATCACAATCTAGCTATGGCGCAACCATTAATGTACTAAACACCAAATAAGCTGTTTTACATGAAACAAAACGTGAATGTATTCCCTCCACGGGTGCTACCGGTGTGGCAGGATACGCTTACATGTACCTGGTACACGGACTACGTCTGCCTTCTTTGGGAAATCCCTGGGAATACATAAAGAAGCGGGACGGTTGGGTAGCCTAGTGGTTAAAGCGTTCGCTCGTCACGCCGAGGAATCGGGTTCGATTCCCGACATGGGAACAATGTGTGAAGCCCATTTCTGGTGATCCCGCCGTGATATTGCTGGCATATTGCTAAAAGCGGCGTAAAACCTCACTCACTCGCCGTACTCACTCACTGATGATATCCGTCAGTCCGTTGCCTGCTGGCCATAACAGTATAATTTCAAATTCTACTCCATACAAATTGGTAACAATTAAATGTCATGATGTGTGCCACTCACTCACATACAGAAGCATTCTTTCTGAAGAATTAGACACTTTAATTTTGAACTCAGTGTTCCAGTATACATTGAGAAATGTCAGAGAGTTTGACTTCATGATTGTTTACGAAAACCTCGCTACGACCCATCCTAATGAACAAAACGAAGAAATGCACTTCCAAACAATCGTAGTGTTGACTCTTGGCTCACACACACACTTGCAATATATAATATTGCAGTCCTGATTTTATACGACTGCATGGTAAAAACTAGAACCTAAAACTGGCTGATCAGGTTTCCTCATTTAGGTTGAACAACAAATGCTGCTTCACACCAAATAATAGAAACAGGTTAAAGTTCCCGAAATCTGACACTGATAACAATATTTCAACTGCAATGTTTCCATTAAGTTTACGCGATCATATTCATTTGCTGTGTGAAATATTCAGTGACATAGGCGATATAGAGACAGACATGCGAATGACTAACATGGTGTGACGGAGCTCCTTTCGCCTACTTGCCATGGTCAATGTTTGGTCTCTGTAGTTTTTGCATTTATCAAGCAAACATAAAACAATGTAATGAAAACACGAAACAATTCAGTAATAGCGATATTTTGTTGTAAGATCGTTGTTGAACGCCGCAATCATCAATATTCCAGTTATATAACGACGGTCTGTAAAAAATCAGACAATCTGATTGGGCCAGACAATCCAGTGATGATATCATGAGCACTGATCCAACCAAGCGAGCATGACCACCCGATCCCGTTATCCGGTTCTCATGACAAACGTAGTCGCCTTTTACGGCCGGCACGGGTTGCTGAAGGCCGATTCTAATCCGGAAAGGAATCTAATATGCTGCACGTGTTCCGTGGTCTGTTACTGGATCTGTTATTATGAAGTCTACCTTCTTCGTTACTAATTGCCATGGTCAGGACCTGAAAAGTATAGAACAATATGAAATTAACCATAGAAAATGACAGATTATATATCTACTCACAATAACATGAGATGCTAAACGTATTACATTGGGTCAGAAAAGAAGGCATATGTTACTGTTTAATGATGTTGGATCGTTCATGCCTACAGTGGATCCTTGGCAATGGCATAAGAGTTTAATCAGGAAGAATGTTTCATGTGTTGGTTACCTTGAGAATGTGCCCCAGTGTTCTGGTATGGTGATACTCTCACCGACTCATAGGTGACAGGGGGAGTAACTACCGTGCTTTCATAGGTACTTGTATCTGCTGCATCCGCTGAAGATGTAATTCATTACGTCTTTCAATAATAAATCCAAATCAAAACTCCCTACTTCTAACTAGCACTTCAACATTACCTTGACTGGAATTATTAAACTAAAACAGTATTGAGCAAAATGGAAAAATCGTCATCTACCTTTTGTATTCTCATAAATCTTAAACTGTGAATACTGTTGTTTTTCTGATTCCTCCAAATTTGAATACTGGACTGGGCCATTTATCTGATCTGAAACAAAATAATACGAACACATAGTAATGATTTCAGTGTTAAATGGACGCATACATAATGGTAATTTCAGCAAAGGGTAACAACCAATACCCAGTACATACCTAATGATGAATACCCTCTGTTATCCATTTCTACAGTTTCGGGATTCCTGGTGCTAGGAAGACAACAAAGTACGTTACTGAAAAGTCATAATGGAATGGAGCATTAAACCTCAGTTTTTAGCTAGAATTTATATGTCTCCATATCTTTTTTCCATATTTGCACATGTTTACTCATTGTTATGTTTAACGTTTGCATTTATACTACCTTTTTCGTGATGCAGTTTCTGAAAAACAAGAACAACCACATGGAATATAATGTAAAACACACATCACCCATGGCAACATGTATTGTCAATCGTAAATTAAATCCACATAGAAAATGATAAAGTAAACTTTATATAATAACTGCAACCTTTAACAAGGCCTTTGCTGGTATAACTACGTCCTTTTCTGTCAATATTCTACATATACATTCAACAAAAGAAATTCTTACAATCGTTCTTTCAAACATATTCGCATATGTCATTGAACATTATATTGACATTCTCCCTATTACCTGCAAATAATATTCAATCATTTTACTACGGAAATTGAACTGTATACCTTCTGGAATATGTCCGAACTTGTATCCCTTTCTGTACAGAACCATGTGAACACTTCCCACAATGAGCAAGGTAAGAAGAATGCCTCCTACTGTGGATCCTACTATTACCCCTGAATACAAACAAGGAGTTTCAAGTTTTCGCTGGTCTGGTGGATCTACAATATGAACAAAATATGATAATAGACAATGCCTGTCTTCAGATGAAAATATATTTGTTTTCAATTTCCTACTTTCAAACAAATTATTTGGTCATAGGTTTAAGTGGTAGGTAATCAGACATTAGGTTCGATTCCCAATATGCGTACAACGTGTGAAGCTAATTTCTTGTGTTGGTCATGCTGATATATATATAGATCCATTCGCTCAAACCAAGATACACATGTTTACTTTGAACTCAAGAAATCCCTGGAAACCTAAATAAATATAGAAAATTATCCATTAGAGCATTCGTTAATGGTGCATACAGATAAGTACCATTATGCTATTTTGTTATGTCCAGAAAGGAAACGGGACAACATCTATTTTAAATGATATTATTTAGAAACTCAACAGAAGTTAAAATGAGACAATAGTATTTAAGAAATATATGAATGGGCAAATCCTTTGTAGTTACCTGTAGTGGGCGTAACAGCAAAACATTAATCAGACGATTGTAATCATAGTTTCATTTGAGAATGTTGAAAAGTTAAGTTCATAATTTGTGAAGCTAAATAAACGTAAAATGAGCAAACAACAAGTAGAGATATTTACATAAACTTTTGAATAGAAAAATCCTGAAGGCTTGACTGATAATCAGAAATCAGCATCTCACCTACAGCCACTAATGTGAGTGTGTATGTCACTGAACTGCCCACGCCATTGTCCACTGTAAGACTGTAGTCCCCGACGTCCTGTTGTTGGAGGTCAGTAAGGTGTAGCCTGGCAGTGACTGAGATGTCTGAGACAGGGCTGGAGGAACCAGTGAGGTCCTGGCTGGTGCAGTTGGTTCTACTCCAGGTGAATGTGGGGAGGGGGTAGGCCAGGACTGACACAGACACGTTCACGTTACCCCCCAGTCTAGCGGCGTACTTGAGTTGAGTTGGGACTGTCACAGCAAGTCGAGGAGAACCTTATGCAAAACATGTCAATGATTCAAAGCACGGTAAACACAGGCTTGATTTGGTGGAGAAAGACACCCCATTCCTGTACACATGATAACTGCAATCTAGTTACGGAAAACATACTCTCAATCAACGAGTCAATCGAGTCAATCAATCAGTTAGTAAGGTAGGACTTGTTACTGTTACATCTTAAAAAAATATTATTACAACTCCTTCTCCTTCTACTACTATTACTACTACTACTACTACTTTACTACAACTACTACAACTACTACTACAACTACTACTACTACTACTACTACTGCTGCTGCTGCTTCTACTACTCCTCCTCCTCCTCCTCCTACTACTACTGCTTCTACTACTACTACTACTACTGCTACTTCTAATACTACTACTACTAGCGTGTTGACAGATGCCCAGCCCACATTACCTACATTTGACTCGCAACTCCACCCTCTGGCTGACAGGTGCCCCGATGTTGTTAGTGGCAGTACAGGAGAAGTTCCCTCTTTGTCTACAGTCTGCTGACTCCAGTCTGTATTCTGCTGTCAGTGAGTTATCTGCCCTTGTCAACTCCTCAGTTCCATTCAATAACCTGATGACTGACCTTGGTTTACCAGCATTATCCAACTGACATCTCAAGATCACCACATCAGACTCATTAACTGTTACTGAACCATTACGACTGTTGGCGGTCAACATACTTATACTCGCCTGATCTGAAACAAATAACTTAAAATGTTGCATTGCAAGTTGTGCGTACTCAGATTAAAAAATGTTAGGCGAATATGATTAGGAACAAAGATTGTTGTAAGTATGCATTTCTATTATTTGTATTATATTTCATGATTCAGTTCTGTTCCAAAGTTTTCCCTATATGCGTATATGAAACCCATATCACTGAATTGAACTGAAACGATACATCAAAGTCAACACAGATGATACAACAACGGGACTTTTTGTATCAGAGTTCCTCCTTTCAGTGTAATTGGGATATGGCAGTTGTAATGGACAATGCATGGGTCATCTCAGTCGACGTGTGACATCGTTATTGTACGTCACCCCACACCATTGTCTGAAGATCACATACAGTAACTGGATGCAGAGCATTCGCCAATGTAACTCAGGCAAATTAAAAACTTACATTTCTCAATGTAATTTCTCTTTGGGGTTGTGTATCACTTCATGTTTACTGTTATATGACAGTCCTCATATGGCACTTTCTGAAAACGTTCATATGAACATACGCCTAACGATGTGCGGCCATCCAGCTTTAACCAATAAGGTAAAGAAACGTATCAAAGGTGTCGGTTTCTGCTTGACAAAACTCACGTGTAACATCCACTGAGACACTTGAGCTGTCATTAGTCCCGTGTGTATTTGAAGCCTGGCACTTGTAGGATCCTGTCTGTGACCTGTCAGCCACCGGGATAGTCAGTGTAGCTCCATCACTGTGGACTGTCCCATCCTTGAACCACTTGTATGTACACGCAGGTCTGCAAGTGGCTGAACACAAGATACTTGGTACACTCTCTTGACCTTCCCTCCTGGTGTAGGACAGAGTGGAGGGTTGTAGGGTCACAGCATAGGGGCCATCTGTCAGAACAGTGAAACAGATTAAACCAATGTATGTACACACCGGTGGGGGAACACAGGATACTTGGTACACGCTCTTGACCTTCCCTCCAGGTGTAGGACAGAGTGGAGGGTTGTAGGTTCACGGCATAGGGGCCATCTGTCAGGTTATGTAGGGTCGTTAGGCCATCTTTCAAGTTCTAATATACATATTGACCGGAACTAAATACACAGAGAGTTTTATAATCAACAGCGGTATAAACTGCTACGACGGCAGTCTGAGTAGTTTAGAAGACGTCGAAACTAGTTTTCGTGAAGTTTTCGTTGGAGCACCGACGCTGCCGTACGAGCTGATACAGTTCGGAGATATCTTCCAAAGGGAATTTAGCATTCCACTTATATATATATATATATACCAAAGAGGCGACAACTGAACAGGAAACCCCTGCTCGCGTCGTCTCTCACCCCAAGCGGCTTAACCACAGCGACTGAGTGTGTTCTCGATTCAAGCAAAATTTAAACTGACATCACAGATTAGAATATTAATAAACATAAGTAACATGACTTTTATGATAATATGCAACGTTTGTACTTTGTAAGAAAAAATGCCAACATTACTCGTTTCGTCTCTTATCTCTACTAACTATCATGTTTATCACTATTCAGTGTTGCTTTGAAAAGAGGTGATGGTAGACATATATTTAAAATATCACTGTGTCACGTTTTCGTGTAGTCCCACGCTATGGGTGAATATAACTAACTGCCCACTGACCATGGTCAAGTAGTTGGCTACACTATTGGGCGTATTTCTACACTTAGGTCCAGACATATATGACCAAGGTTGGCCAGGGGATAACTCGCGACGTACAAGGAAGTGTGCAGGCCAAGGTAGGCCGGTAGATACCAACGGGGGTGTGAGTAGAATTTGATTTATTCTCTAATTTAGAATGGCTGTCCGCACATCTGACCCCTGTTCTAGAGATTTCACTTGCTAACAAATACAACAATAAAAGTCTTCGTCACCAAATGTGAAATCATTCTCTGCAATCTTTTGTTCTACATGGCGCATGTGCGTGGTGTCACACATGGAATCCAATTCAATGAAACACGGACGATATTGTATTGAACCAAATGCCATGGACTGGTCAGATCGCTGGTACAAGTAGGTACAATCTGAGTAGTAGCAATGTGACTGTCACTACATGTGAGACTGCACAAGATCGTGCTTTGCATGGGATTGTTTTACTATTTGTGAGTGCTACTGAGGAAGGGGTCTACCTTATGAAGTATATTTGGCAACAACATTAATGGATATTGGAATATTGAATGGCATTGTATACATACACTGTGGCTCCATGTTGTACAGCTGGCTCCACTCTGACTCCAGACCCTGGTCTTCTGTTGCCTTACATCTGTAGTGACTGTCTCGGGAACTCACTGTGAAGGTGAAGGGAGAACCAGGGGAGGTAACTGTGATGTCAGTGTTGTCGCGCTGCCAGGTGTAGGTCAAGGTCAGTCCATGGTCAGCTGGGGCAGTGGTAGAGGAGGAGCTACAGGTCAAGGTGAACTGCTTCCCAAACACAGGGGCTGATGATCCATTGAGTGTTGGTTTGGTGGGTTGACCTGTATTAAAAACATCCATCACTTTACGTTCATGAAAATAAAACTGTCTTATTTGTTTGTGCATCAGGATATTACTCATTTACATAATGATTCATGGATTGATTCGGAAACTTATTGAGGAAAATGTATGACCAATTTATTTGCTCACTGTGGTCCATAGAGTCCGCGTGTCAAGATGTGATGTCCAAATTGAACGCCACTCGTATCTTAGCTGATATATACAGTGTGAACATGTGTGTATAGGCAGCAGTATCAATAGCAGTTACAAATACGAGAAGGTGAACGAAGGAGTTACAGCCCACTGATAACCCTGTCACAGTACAACCCACCCTACACATGTCATGACTGCCGGAATAAGAGAAGACATATTCACTGTGCCAGATTGTTTAATAGTTACTGTAATTGATGCAAACTCAATGTCAATGCTCATGAATCCAAAGTGTTCGTTCCGGAGGGCAACAACATGGTCTGTTATCACTGTCTCAAATATATTTATAGCTATAACGATCTTGTCGTAACATTCAAAATCATTACTATTGGTTCATTACTAATATGCTTTGCTTATGTGAATCGTTCTGGAGGGCAACAACATGGTCTGTTCTCACTGTCTCAAATATGTTTTTAGCTATAACTATCTTGTCTTAGCAATCAAAATCATTACTATTGGTTAATTACTAATATGCATTGCTTATGTTAAGTCAAGTTAGTCGCCATAACTTGTCACTTGAACGTGTTTGTTATACTTTATGCTTCTTTTAATTATTGGTTTAAATATATGCAGTGTCTAGGGAGAACAAATAAATATTTCTCAAATATTTAGTTACGTTTGATAAAATATATGCCAAAATATGCGAATCCAATATCATATCCCTAAAAGCAAGATCGGGCGATAATTTTTTTTAAGTCAGTTCAAAAGTAACATTTTTTCTAAAGGCTCTCGGTAAGTCACAACTGACAACCAGTAATTGGTGATGTGATGAAGGAAATTACACAGCGTAGTCATTTGTAAATGTATCAGCAACAAATAGTTATCCAGAACATTATGTTTCTCTGAGAATATATAAACGACGTGCATTATTGTTAACATTTAGAAACATATCACTCTCACTCTCTTGCTTGTTTTGTAAATATGTTGCTTAATAGTGGACCTGGTCCTGCGTTGTCTGAAAATGGATTTGACTTGGGGTTTTTTAGCCAACGGCTCCGATGTCAAGCTGACACTTTGAACAAAGCCATAGATATCAAAACACAGTAATCAGTTGTCTTGGCACTTAATTTAAAACTTAATTTGAATACTAAGTTAGTATAAGTAAATCAAAATCCAATTTCGGGAAGCCACGTGATACCAGTTACTTTGTAAAGTGGACTTACCAGGAACAACCAGCTTCTGTCCACACTGTGGTATGATGACAGATGGTCCATTCTTCCCACAGACGTAGTCCCCAGCATCAGAACTGACAACACTGCGGAGGTCAAAGGCCATGATCCTGGGGTTAGCAGCTAGATTCCCGGTGTAGGTCACACGAGCTGTGTAGTCAGGTGCAGTCAGGTGGCTATTGTTAACTGTGCCGGCCAGTAGTACTGTAGTTCTGGATGGACTGATGACATATATGGTATTTACAGTGGAACCATCTGTTACAGCTGACACCTGCCACCTGAAGCTGGCTGTCTGAGACTCCCTCACTACCACAGGGCTGGAGGACAACTGGGAGGCTACACCTGTTGGGAACATGAACACATGGAATATGAGGGTGCCTCAAAGTACCTACATGCCTTTGATTTCTCCTAGTTGACACGCCCTGATAACAGTGTTTAAACCAATGCACACATGTATTCATTATCCCTGGTAACTTAATTACGGCTGTGTTAGTTTTGTGTGGATTAATAAGAAATTAACTCACCATTGAATGCTATTCCCAAAACGTAAATTGTCCTGACTGCCTTGTAATATTCAGTGATTCTACCAGTCGTTGTCGACATATTTCTGAAAGAGTAGGAATTTCCTATGTCAATAACTGATAAGGATTATTAATGTATTTGTGTATCATTGTGATCAAACTGTTGCTGTGATACAACCCTGTAATTCCTTGTCTTTAACATGTCCATACACATCTGACTGAATATAGCTCACAAATACGTCCTGCAATGCAAAAAGGATTGACCTATTGAATTGCATAGATATAAAGCATAGAATAAGTCCAAAAACATTCTTTTATTTCACTTTTGAACCCTGAATTTAAGCAGCGATTTTTGTCTTTAGGGTCTTCTACGTAATCCTCAAACTGTAATCTCAAACATATAACTATTCCTCTGTTGGTCACCAGGTTACTATTTTCTCTCACCCAAGAAAACAACAGCCACCCTAATGAAAGCGTTCACAGAGCATATATATTCATAGTTGATTTTATTTACTAATATGAGCATGAATTCATGAAGCTGACACGTACAAGGGCGAATCAGTAGGAACAGTATTAGATAAATGTAAAGCTTGTTCAAACTTTGGATAATGAATTCAGATCTCCCCAAGCGTATTCTTCAATAACGGATCTATCGCTAAAAGCCAATAGTTTAGTTGTTGTGGTGAGACATATCGAGACATCAACATGTATGAATTTGTCTTCACATCTTACTAACAAAACGCAAAGTTATGTCGTCACATGTTTTTCAAAAGAATTGTGAAACTATTTTACTAGATCGGAGTGAGTGAATGAGTATGGTTTTACGCCGCTTTTAGCAATATTCCAGCAATATCACGGCGGGGGGACATCAGAAATGGGCTTCACACATTTGACACATGTCGGGATTCGAACCCGGGTCTTCGGCAAGACGAGCGAACGCTTTAACCACTAGGCTACCTGACTGCCCCTATTAGATCGGAGAGAACAAATACCACAGCAGTTTATTCATTATGCTTACACTGCTGTGGTCTTTGTTCTTGCCACAAAACTCATATGATATATTAATTTGCATACCACATGCTCCGGGGTAGAATTGGTCTTCAGCAACCCATGCTTGCCGTAAAAGGCGACTATGCCTGTTGTAATAAGCGATAGGGTGGTCAGGCTCGCTGACTTGGTTGATGCATGTCACGATGTCAATCACTGGATTGTTGGGTCCAGACTCAAATATTTACAGACCGCCGTCATATAGCTGGAATATTGCTGAGTGTGGTGTTAAACAACAAACAAACAAAACAAACATATGTACCACATGCAGACATTGACGAGGTATGTACAATACATACACCACAGCTGGGCTTTGCTTTTTAGATGTCAGAAATGTTTCCGACGGACGGACAATCTGACACTCATAAAATTCACTTGGACAAAAAGATTCAGTGAGCTCATATTCAAATGAGTCCAACGTGAGCTTCCATCGTTATAAGCCTTCAGCACGTTTCAATTCATTCAGTACGTTCACAGTTCATTTAGCTACATTAGCCCTTAGGCTTTATAAATATTTCCTTAAATCACAATTTTAACAATTTTAGAATTTCGATTGATGAGTGTCCCGCAGTGTAAGTGCTTACCAGTGTTGACCCTAATCTTCTTGTCCCCCAACACGACTAGCAACACCAAGCTGTATCGTGGCATTAGTCGGAACTTCCAAACTATACTCATGTATTTAAACTAAGCCCACGACGGCGTATTTTATGCAGCCCCGCCTACTCACTGGGACTAAGACATAAGCCAGCACTCAGACTTCACATGACATTGTAGAGTAACACCTACAAGCTTATTTTAGATTTAAGGTGGGTAAGTTGACGCTCATGGTTTCAAATGCCTACCTTGTGCGTGTTTCCGGTTGTGAGTTCCAATATAGACAGACAGACTTACAAGCCTAGCACGCACACAGAAGTTGTCCCGTCTAGATTACCTCCTGATGTATGAGGGGTACTCTATGGTTACCGTGACACTGTACGTTGTTTTCGCAACAGATCTACGAAACCTCAGCACACACTTACACACAGTTATTGATCCACTGCAATACAGTTGATCACGTCCTGGCGAGTAGTACACTCCTTGTAACGTGTACCTACCCGATGTGCTTCCGGGTAGCAAGCTCCAGTATATGTTGTGTACACGACATACGTACAAGCCTATTGAGCATACACTGACACACAGGGACAGCTGGGGCCTCCTCAAATTGCCACCACGTATTGTCTATTCAATTGACTGAATACGTCTCTGGTGCGTAGTATTGTGTCACTTTGCAAAAGTGATATCTGTCTGATAAAGATAACCATGTTAACAGTGAGCTACCTAGCCTTATCTCCCTTTTCCTTGGCACGATTTTATGTATGGAGCCCTATTAGAAACACAAGCAGAGATAAGTATAGTTTTATCTGGTGTGCACAAATTAATACCACTTGAATACGAGATGCTATGTTGTGTGAGTATGATGCGGACGTGTTACTTCTGTCGCGCTCGAGCTACTCCGGCTTCGGGGAAGAAACCAGTGCTTTCTTAGTCATGCAAATTCTGTGAGTGGCGCGTGCTATCGGTGGAGCAGAATGTGCTAACCCTTTCCATGAATATATGGATATCATGACTGATGTAATCCATTATTATACTTGGATATACAACGGATCTATCTATACCTGTATAGTCAGTGTCAACTACAGCTCACCCACAGAAATACTTTGCTGTTATGTTGATGTGTTGGTACGGAAATAACATCTTTTACATATATCTACATGTCAGTACCTGGTTCTATGTCTGGAGAAATGCAACTGAATAGTGAAGGTAATACGTCTTTTGATAAGTCATGTCAGAAGTACGTTTTTGAACGAAAGCACACAAGGATAATTAAAATAACACATGTGAACGTCTCACACGCCAGTCCTCAAAAGGAATAACATAATATATGCCCTTTGTTATAATCATGTCATATAACGAAAGGGTAATTACACGCCCATCCTAAAAAAGGACGGCTGAACGTTTCTAATGCATACATTCAGCAATGACCTGTTTTATGTTACTGCCTGTACATTGCGACCCGGTGGCCCATTTACCCTTAAATCCTTTCTGTCTGTGTCTGGTGGAGGGTGGCAACTTCACCCGTCGCTCTCGAGTCTCAGGTGTCTCGTTTAACATTGAATAAAACCACATTCACATGTCTTTAGTTTATTCATGAACTCCCGTTATTGGCGTCTGACTTAAAACTTGGAGCGTACAGTAATGTTGTGTGTAAATGTATATGACGGAGATACATTATTTATTTTCCAAAAGATTCGAGTGGTACCTCCCAAAGTAAACCTAATAATATACCTTACCAGCATAATTTTCGCCCGTTAATCTAAAATATCTCAATCAATTTGGCTTTAAAACCGTTTCACGGACAGCTTCACAATTACCAGAGGAGGTACCGGTTGACCACGAATTTACATCACTGACAAATTTATCAATTTATCTAAGATGTCTTAATTGGCCCAATTTCACTGACATCTTGACTGTTGGCAGATGTCACCTAGAGCTGTGCATTACACTCGGATACGATGAACGTTACGTTCGCTAAGCCGCATGTGACAGACGTTAAGTTACGAGGTAACATACATTTCTCAGTCGGGTGTACGAAACATGTACCTTATGTGCTTGTGCACATTCAGTAACCAATGAGAAACGATTATCTTCATGCAAAGTAACATACATACACACACACATATATATATATATAGTGTTTAATACCATCATGTCATTAAATAGAATGTATCACTGTGTACCTGACTGACAGGAAAAGTGCTAAATGAATGGTATTCAATCATATCGTGGCTCAAGGAGGAAAACTAGATGCAATGTATATACTGTCAACATCTACATTGTCCTGTATTGAATGTAGGAAGTTGCTTTCTAACAAAAAAAGTGTTTGGAAAGAGAACAAAACACACGTCATAGAGTGAGTGAATCATAATAGCCATAGAGGTAAGTATACACTTTAATCAGTTAAGCAGGATAAATATGTCCATGCATACAAAGTAAAAAAACACCGAAACAAACATGATTTTTTTGCAAATGAAATTGATCTATTGTACACTGTGAGCAGATACGCAAGGATGATGTCGAGTCTAAAATCGTGTTAATAGTAGGATTCAGATAAATAGACATGATCAAGTTAGAAACATACTCTTTAAAAAAGTAGGGGATACTCGATAATAACTTAAACTTTTAGTTTCTAGTTATAGTTGTGTGATAAGAATGAATGAATTGCGAACGCGTGACAAGAGGTATTTGTAGTTTCTTGATCCCTGTTCAATAGTCTGCAAATCGCAGTTGAATCTATTGGCCATTGCAGGTGACTTCTGCCAGTTTCCAGCATGCCAATAGCCCGTAGACGCTCCGCGTGTTGTAGACGCCGCACACAAACAATGAAGTAAATCACAACTGTATGATAAACAGAATAAATATGTTTGGCAGAAATATTGGTCCATAGAGGTCAATCGTCCTTTCTTGAAAGTGTCAAAATCAGGAATGACACCCTATCCACCTGTGTGACGCTACTGTGTAAGGCCAGTGAGAACTATTGGATGTGTTTGGGTGTTTGTCGTCCGTCCACGCTTATCTTAGATCTAATACTTCGAATTCACATCTGTATACATTTCATGACCTCTTTCTCCTTATATTTTATATGTAATCCACGAAATTTGGTTTAAAAAATGTAAAAATTATCAAGAGAGCCCCGGAGACGCTCGAATCATCGAGTCATGTGTCATGTTGTCAACGTGATATCAAACGACTCAGCAGATGGTTGTTCTCTTTTGGTTAAACTGTTGAAGACAACACACGTTTTCCTGGAGCTGGTAGGGCAACGCACTGGCCTCGTAGGTCAACGGGGGCGTCTCTATTATGCTTTCGTAGGCACTTGTCCCTCCTTCGGCACCAATTGCAGATGTAAATGATCACATTGAAGCAAATGCAAACGTTCCTTTTTCCCTTTATGACAAGCATCCTTTCCCTATGTGATCTTATAATTCGAAAACACCTTTTGTATTGTCATATATCTTTAACTGTGTGTACTGGGGTTTGTCTGATTCGCCCGTCTTCAAGTTAGAATATTGTTGTGGTCAATTGACGTGATCTGAAGCAAACCATTATGCCCAGCGTATTATAAGTGTATTTTCGACTGAGAAGTGTCAAGAAGACATCTTTGTTGTAAGATGTTTGACGGCCATTCAAAGATCTTTGGTTCAACACACACACGTCTTCTTTACGTTTGGTCAACACGATACTAACAAGTCTGAAGTTATGAAGTGTTCACTGCCCGTCTAGGTTGTGTTGTCCTCAGAGTCCGTGGGAGCTGTGTTGTCCTCAGTGTCTGTGGGAGCTGTGTTGTTCTCAGTGTCTAAGGGAGTTGTGTTGTCCTCACTGTCTGTGGGAGTTGTGTAGTTTTTATTTTCTGTGGAAGTTGTGCTGTGCACGCATCTGTGGGAGATGGGCAGTGTTCACTGGCTGTAGGAGATGTGCAGTGTTTACTGTCTGTGGCAGCTGTGTAGTGTTCACTGTTTGTAGGAGTTGTGTAGTGTTCATTGTCTGTGTAGTTGTGTAGTGTTCATTGTCTGTGGTAGTTGTGCATTGTTCACTGTCCGTGGGAGTTAGGTAGTGCTCACCGTGTGTGTGAGTTGTGAAGTGTTCACTTCCTGTGGGAGTTGTGAAGTGTCACTCTCTGTGTAAGTTGTGTAGTGTTCACTTCCTTTGGGAGTTGTGAAGTGTCACTCTCTATGTGAGTTGTGAAGTGTTTACTGTATGTGGAAGTTGTGCAGTGTTCACTCTCTGTGGTAGTTGTGCAGTGTTCACTCTCTGTGGTAGTTGTGTAGTGTTCACTCTCTGTGGCACTTGTGTAGTGTTCACTGTCTGTGGCACTTGTGCAGTGTTCACTGTCTGTGGCACTTGTGTAGTGTTCACTGTCTGTGGCACTTGTGTAGTGTTCACTGTCTGTGGTAGTTGTGCAGTGTTAAGTGTGTGTTGCAGTTGTGTAGTGTCCATTGTCTGTGTGAGTTGTGCATTTTGCACTTTCCATCGGAGTTGTGCATTGTACACTGTCTTCGGGTTTTGGGTACTGCTCACTGTCTGTTGAGTTGTGTAGTGTTCACTGTCTGTGGCACTTGTGTAGTGGTCACTGGCTGTGTGAGTTGTGTAGTGGTCACTGTCTGTGTGAGTTGTGTAGTGGTCACTGTATGTGGGAGTTGTACAGTGTTCACTGTCTGTGGGAGTTGTGTTGTGTTCACTGATGGTTGGAGTTGTGTTGTGCTTTCTGTGTTAGTTGTGCAGTGCTCACTATCTATGGGAGTTGAGCTATCCTTACTGTCGGTGGGTGTTGAGCTATCCTCACTGTCTGTGGGAGTTCAGTTATCCTCACTGTCTGTGGAAGTTCAGCTATCCTCACTGTCAGAGGGAGTTGAGCTTCCCTCACTGTCTGTGGGAGTTCAGCTATCCTCACTGTCGGTGGGTGTTGATCTATCCTCACTGTCTGTGGGAGTTCAGCTATCCTCACTGTTTGTGGGCGTTGAGCTATCCTCACTGTCTGTGGGTGTTCAGCTATCCTCACTGTCTGTGGGAGTTCAGCTGCCCTCACTGTCTGAGGGAGTTGAGCTATCCTCATCGTATGTGGGCATTGTACCTTCCTGTTCTTCAATACCCTTTTGATGATTTATATGATATATTTACGGATGTAACAAGCGAAATACACCAGTTGTAAGAAAAGCGATATCATAGCGATGTTATAAAAGCGGAGGAGACGTGTAACAATGTATTAATTACTCAAGTGGACATTATCTAATGTCTACGCTGAAAAACGGCGTGGCTGTAATAAGGGCTGAGTTCAAAGAAAACATTCGTAGCTGATGGTTGGATCATTGACTGTCCTGTGAAAGTTCAAACTGATAATGAAGTGTGCAGATCGACTGCAAATAAAAGTTGACAACACATCTGCAATTATAGCTTCATCATATCAAACTGTGTGTGAACAAGGGAAGCCCGAGAGACGATCGACTCACGGAGATAATCAGCAGCATGTTGGCTGTGCGATTTCATTGTAATGAGGGGTGGTTTTATCTCATTTGCTCTGAACCTGTTTGATGCCACAACGCTTGCAATACAACACTGTACCAGTGCACGTCCAGGTAAATTCCTCTATTTCCAACGTATGTGTTCGCGAGTCATGCAATAGATCACAGGCTACTGCAATAACTCACAGACAAATTCAAATAGCATATGTCAATGATTAATACATCCGGGTTTACACGCATGCATATGG